AGGACGCAACCAGGGGATTGCGAGAGACGAGTTTCCCGCGCGACCGCTCATAAGCGAGAGAGCGGAGGGAAATCGATGCAACCAGATCTCGTAGAAGTCTAAGGAGGCCGCACGAGGGAACAAAAGATCGTGGCTTGGGGTGAAGTGTTGAGCAAGGAAGAACTTGTCAAGGCCCTAAAGGCAGACGGTTTTTGTCAGCGGGTGTTGGGGAAAATAGTGGAAATGGAAAGCAACACCGGGAACGCTGGCGGTCAAGTTAACGAACACATTCATTGATACCTGCTGGGCCAAGACGGCTTGTTGCTCCGCTACATCCCAACAATCGATGACAAGGAAGGGAACGACTATACGTTTAGGGTGGTGATTCCTAGGAGTCTACGGAGGCGGTTTATCGGTTACTTCCACGATTCGGCTATAGCTTGTCATGGCAGCGGCAGCAAGACTTTTCAAAAGTTATTTCGCGTCGCGACCTGGCCATGGATGAGGCAGGACACACTCCGGTACGCCGTACCTGCCCAGCCTGCCAAATAGCGAAGCCGCGAGGGGGAAAGCCCCCAGGCCTGATGCAGCTTGTAGTGAGTCACTACTCGTGGGAGATGGTTGCTTGCGACATCGCCGGCTCACTACCAAAAAGTCCCTGTGGGAACCAGTACTTATTGGTAATAACCGATCATTTCTCAAAATGGGTGGAGTTACACCCGCTGAGGAAATTGGTTTTGAAGCGCATCTGGGAAAAGTTGTTGGAAACTTTTATGCGTTTCGGCACACCCACGTGTCTCATCAGAAATAATACTTGTAATATTTCTAGCAAATTGTTCACTGACTCCTGCTTGGCGCTAAACACAAAACACAGGAGGACAACACCATGCCATCTTCAGGCTAATATCACTGAAAGAGTGAATCGGAACTTGAAGAGTATGTTGATCGCGCTAAACCGGGAGACAAAGGGACAGGGATCAGTACGTCAGCGAGATGGGTTTCGCCATCCGGATGACTGTGAACAGATGGACTGGGTTCACAATAGCGCTTCTTAACTTGGGTAAAGAACTACCGTCTCCGCTAGAGAAAGGATTGCAGAATAACCAAGCACCACTAGAGCGCTCACTCTCTAAATACGCGGTAAAATTAAAGAACCGCTTGGCGAGCGCAATGCACGACGTTGGAGAGAATCTCGATGCTGCAAAGATCGAGCAGGCTGCCCAGTACGATAAGAGTTTTCGTCACCTGGAATACAAGGTGGGGGACCTGATCCTTAGAGAACACATCCTTTGACCAATGCAGCGAGCGAAATCGCAGCCTCATTTGCTCCGAAGTGGAAAGGGCCCTACGTGGTAAAAGCAAGACAGTCACGTCTTACCTACAGGCTCGCTCGGCAAAATACGAACGAGGAGTCTGACCCGGTTCACATCACAGACCTGAAAAAGTACCATCTTCGTGATCGGGGTGACGATGAGTGAGAACTCGCAAAGGGGGACGAGGAACTCCTTGTCCAGGGCGATTCTGATGCGCAACCCACAACGCGCTCTAAGCGCTGGAGTCAAACGGTGCAAGAACCTGTCGGGAAAGAACTCGATTGTGGATCTGCCCGGCAGTACGATTTACGGCCTAGAAATTTTTATTTTCAGGGTTACTAACTGTGTCCCTTCTGCCCAGAATGCCACCCCCTGAGAGGTCGACACGGAGGCTACTGTCCCGGAGGTGAACCGGGATTGGGCACAAGTCCGTCCGGTTTGGGGGACAGCCAAGCTGGGTGGCAAGAGGCTGATCTGCCCAGCCCACAGAGTAATCGACCCTGGGGCCCAGCAGACGGTGGCTCATCGCAGTGGGACGCGAGGAGCCCCACTTCCCCAAACGGCTCAGCTAGCCGATATGGACCAGACCGGTGCAAATTGCGCGGAGGCCGCCCTTGGAAACGGCCACGCCATCCCCGAGGAGCTGGTTCCCCGGCTCAGTCCTCTACTCCGAACGCGCTGAGCCCATCTGCGTCGAGGGAACGACCAGCGTCAGCGCGGAACGGTGTGAACGTAACCCCGAGAGGAATGCCAAGGCGATGCAGGCCCCACCGTGCCTTTGCCACACCGTGGCAACCTGGACGACGTGCGACGGGCGAGAAGACCGCCATTTCGTTTCAAGACAACCTTGGAGAGACCAACCGAGACCGACCCCGTCCCAACCCCTCCATCAGGCCCCACGGCCCTTCAGGGGACACACATTGCCGGCTTTTTCCTTTTTTGAGGACCAGATGAATCCGTGTTGTTTATGCCAGGTCCCGGTTGTGCACCAAAAACACACGATGCCGGCCGTCGGCACACAGACATGTTAAAGACAATGGGTCTCGTCTTCTGCATAGCGGCAGCGGTACAGTTGCTTCGCAGAAACCGGCCCGACCTCCTGAATCCAGCTGCCCTGGGTCCCGCCCAAAACCGAAACACACCGAAACGAAGCCCTAGTCGAGGAAATGACAATCGGGGAGCCAACCCCAGACCCCTCTACCGCCGAGCAGCCTCCGTTTTTACCAGATCCCGCTCCGCGCACACCGGCTACAACCGAACTGCTTTCGCCTCCTGCGAAAGACACCCTAATGGAAGACATCAATGAGTTCCTTGAGAGTGACGCAATACCCCCAGCCTCCAGAACCCAGGACCAGACGCTTGAGGAGGCGATACCCCCGGCCTCCGGTATCCAGGACCAGACGCTCGAGGATTGGAGGATTTAGGGCACGAGGAAGAAGAGAGGCATAGGGCGAGGCGGGAGGCACGAGAAGAAAAGGAGGAAAAGAAGAGGTAAAACGCGGACGGCACTGGCGGGGCTGTCGAATCCGGCAGAGCTCGAGGGCAGAAGCCTTTTTCATCGTGAAGTCGCAGACCCAGACCTTCACGGCGTACCCGGGCCTTCCACCATCGAGGCAGACCGGCAAGCAGCGACGGTTGCCACAACTGGGGAGGCCAAGCCAGCGGCGGAGCAGCGAACTGTATTTATAAAACTCCTCCTTATGGCAGGGGGTGTCGTCTGGTTTCTCGGTGAGTGAGCGCAGCGCGGTCAGATCGGGCAGTGGCGATAGGACACCCACAACGTGGAGCACAAGGCATGGAACGAGGTGTTGCAGTACGTGATATTTGCCCACAACACGGCCGTACAAGAGACCACTGGGGTGACATCCTTTCAACTGGTTCATGGTCGCGAAGTAATGACAATGCAGACGCGGGGTTACCCCACGAACCGTTTGTCGACGGAAGCGACGACGCTCAGGTGGTTGCCCAACGGGCAGAAGAAGTCCGCCAGCTCGCCAGACACCGTATGCTAGCCCTACAACGTGTTAACACTGGCCGCTAAAAACTTCGTCGTCGGGAGGTCCACTTCCAGCCCGGAGACAGGGTGTAGGTGTGGACACCGATCCGCCGCCGTGGTCTAAGCGAAAAACTCCTAAAGCGCTACTTTGGACCCTACAAAGTACTTCGTCGACTCGGGGATCTGAACTACGAGGTGATGTTCGACGGAACACGGACTTCATCACGCCGCCCTGCATTACCGGAAGTCGTCAACGTGGTGCGCCTCAAGAAGTACTACGCGCGCTAAGACTGCGAACTGGGATGTTGTGCAACGCTTGATAGAATTGTGTTTTGCCTGCCTTTGTATTCTTCCATTATTTTGTTTGCCTTGCTTTGTTTTGTTGCGTTTCACGTTGCATTGAGACGATGACTTTTTAAAGGGGGGAGTAATGCCACGCGCGTCGGCGAGCGACCGCGCGTGGCCGAGTGGTTATCGCGCGTGACTGTCGCTCGGAATGTCTAGGTTCGATTCCAGTGAGTGAAATGTTCTTTTATTTGTTCTTTCAAAATTGCGTTCTCGTGAGTTGAAGATCATTCTCGTCTGACCGAGTTCCGAATATTCTAGTCGTCGAACGTTCTAGGCCGATTGTTCTAGAAGCCAACCCGCGTACATAAGGCTCTGCGTGGCGATCTGCCGTCAGTCTCGCCCCAGCGTTCGACTCTGCTCCGACGCCGACTTCGACGCCCGCGACGCCCTGCTGGTATCCTCTGTTTCCTTTTCATTTTTGGGCACAAGTTCGCCCTATTAAACGTTTCAGTTTCCCCAGTTATTTTTGTTTTACCTTCTCATTCGTGACAATATAAGACTTTCGAATTGTTTGTCGCTAAAACGCGACTTTACTTACGTCGTCTTTTAGGGCAATCCCGCTCTGCTGGAGCTGAAAAACAAAAGAATTAAATGTGTACTAATTTTTAGATAACGCTAAGAGCTTGGGTAATGAATAAATAAAAAACAAAAAATTGCCGAGTTTTTTTTTTTTTTTGGCGTTTGTTTTTACTCAAAGAATAATTATTCGGTTTGAAGCAATGTTCGAGACTTTAATTACTCCTTGGCAACTCTAAAAACTTGAAGGTTGATCGAGACGTTTCTATAAAAAGAGGCCTAAGATTGCTGATGGAAGTCGATCGCAACATCATTACTTTTGCTTAGTTTGCAGTACCTTTTTAGGTGCAGGTAGAACTTCACCAACAAAACATTTATTTTAAGACAACTGCTGAATTAGAGGTGATAGCATTGTCAAATATGATTATACGTAACGTAATATGCATAAGCAAAAACTGGTGTAAATATGAAAAAAAGGTTGGTGAACCTATTTTGTTGACAAATGTCGCAATTATGCTTTATAAAGTCGTGTATAAACATACATTGATTAGCGTGCTTTATCAGCTCGGTACTTTAATAATTATGACTTACGGCCATAACAAAACATTTGCCGCCATATTTATATATTTTTAGAAAATCACGCTATAAGCCACTTTTATCAGGCTTTAAAACCATTTATAAATCAATATGTAAGTATATTAGAAGTATGGGCGCTTTGACTAACTAGATAAAACAGGTCGAATTCTCATTGAAACATTCTGCCTTATTTCAACTCGAGTCAGATTTTTCTAGCTTAGGCAGCTGATAAGAGTGGAAGGAACCATGCCTTTTCGAATAAATTGTTTTACGTTGTGTCTCACCTTTGTAATCGATTCTGTGCCCCTCCGGCTCCTCGATTTCAAAGACTTTGTGCGCTCCGTATCGACCTTCATGGTGTCCCATCAGGGGCAGAGGAGCAATCCTCAATGTGGGGCCCAAGGCCCCGCTCTGTGCGTAACATGAATGCGGCTTAGGAAACTTGCTTCTTGGAATAACAATTCATGATATCTTTTTTTATTGAATAATGTTGTAGGCCTCGTTAGCACCCAGAAACGTGCGGACCGAATAACATGTTTCAGGACGCAATAAAAAGTGACATTGCTCAGGATCTGTTCTATATCCTTTCCGGAATTCAGTCTTGCCACTTTGATTACTATCATCATCATCTGAAAACGGCATATGTGCTATACTAATGGCGGCCTTCTGTTTACAGATGAAGGAAGAAGTTGAAGATGCTCCTAAGCAGATGATTCGATGCCTTTACATTCTCGACGTTAGCGCGACGTGAAGCAGGAATTGGACGCAGGAGCTGCGTAAGCGTTCATTCCTAACTCATTCCCAGTCAATCTGTTAGTAGCACTCACTCGGCTTCAAAGCACCTTGATGTATAGGATTCTATCAAGGCGGCTATATGGGTTGGCGCTTCGTTCCGACTGGCTGCATTTGTTTTGCCATCGATACTAAAAGAGATTGAAAAACAATTGTAGTGAAGTGCACATTTTCGTTTACCGTTGACCTTTAAGTGACGGTGCCCCATTAAATACTGCAGACCACAGGTTCATTGCCGCCATTAGTATAGTAAAAGATAAACTGCCATTTGGGACACCAGATGGCACTGAATTCCAGAAAGGGCCTATTGAAGCCTGAAAGGAACAGAACTTCAAAATAAAATACCAGCGATCACCGAAACAATAAGACGATAAACAGGAGCGGCAAAGAGTGCAGGTACATTCAGCTGAAAAACAAAAGCCACCTGGCCTTGATGCGCAATTGGTGTCTTTTGGAGCAGCTTTTTTGTTATCTTTTTGTTCTTTGAAATAACGACATCGTAACAATACATTTGTAACTCCGGTTTGTTTTTGGTCGCCCGCCGAAATTGAATTCCGTAATCCGGCGTTATATAAGTATTAACTATAATCGGTGACAGGTCAAGAACGAAGTGGAAGCTCCACCTAACTTTTTCCAATTCAGAAGAGAGAACGCTGGAGAGGAGGTCGCTTCCTCTGCATCAATGCTCCGCTAATGTTGAAAGAGGCGGGAGGAGCTTTCCTCTTCTTTCTTGATTTGTCTCCGACTACAGGTTGAATTCTCAATTTTGAAAAGTCCGCGATGACTCAATTGATGGATCAGTCATACACAAAACATGTAAAACTACACAAACATGTTCGATGGATGTTAATGTAAATTAATCATTCATGGCGTTAAAAAAGCTAGATATTGCGAAGCTTTTTTTTTACTCGAGCTGAAAAAAAATATAAGCAAGCTAATGCGTGTTAATGACGCATTATAAAAATGGTACAGACTACAGACATCAAAATGCTTGCTCGTAAATTGATCGCGGTCTTTTACTATTTCTGGAGCTAAAAAAGAACTACGTCAGAGAAGCGTTTTTGATTGCATAAGCAGTTTAGTGTTTGTATACACTTCCTTTTGTACCCTTTCTATTTTGGATGAACAGACGGATGTAATTTCAGGCGATGCGAAGTTATTATATTGTTGAATAGCACGTTTCTGTGGTCCTTGATAGTATTTTCGCGATACTTTTGCGAACTCTGCTCACGTGTTTGCTGTACTAGATAGATTACATAGTTACGTTCTTTTCTTCGGCCATGTGGCCCTTAAATAGAATAAAATTATCGCCGTTAAAGGAAAACATCTCACTCTTATCTCTGGTCTAAAATATATGCAAATATATCAACCTGAGCTTTGGAATAATACTTGGACACGAAGAGAGAAAGGACAGGAGAGGACAAGCAGCTTACTACCAACGATGTTTTAGTGTAAACTTGTTCCTTGCGTGTTTGCCTCTTTATTCAGAAACCAAAGTAGAACACGATAAACGTATTGCATAAATAAACCTATTGCACTCGGAAGGATACTACTGATAATTACGCATATACAAATTTATACAAAAATATTACACAGGAATGCTTAAAAATTATTGTTCTTGAACTAATCCACCACGAGCTCCTGCTGTTGTTGTTCGGGGCGTGTCATTTCGTAGCTGTTGTCTTTATTTTAGAGCGCAGTTCTTAGGCTCCCGTTTCCGGCTTGAGCAGCGTCGCCCTCCCCGTAACTGAGCTTTGCGTTATGGGAAGTTTCCCATCATGATATCACACACGTCGTCTCGTGTGAGGTAACGAGGGTCACAAGTGACGTCACGAAAGTCACTTGTGAAGGTGACAACGAAGGTCGCGGCCTTCACCGTAAAGGTCACGTCCACGAGACCTTCAGGAGTGACGTCGCGAGGGTCACTACAGTCGCGAGGGGGAGGGAGGGGGTAAATTAGGGCAGCAGGAAGGGGAGGAGAAAGGGAGGAGGAGAAGACGAGAATGAGAGGAGAAAGATGGAGGAAGGGAGAGGGAGGTGGAGCGGGAGGAGGAAAGAAGAAGAGGGTGCGATGAAGGTTGAGGTACATACCCTCATTTCCATACCCTCCCCTCTTCTTCCCCAAGAACTGTGCTTTAATTCTGCATTACAGAGAACAGTAAACGGCTTGGTTTTTTTTGTGAACGATGATAGATGGGGTGCTGACGCAATCGTCCGCGTGTTCCTCGATCGCGAACGCCTCGACCATCTCGCGTGCATTAGGATTGTTACTGTCAGGGATGATTCTGGTGTTAAAAGCTGCACTGCAGTGGCATGTGCTGTGATGAGATACCAGTTCTCCGGCCGCTGTTCCCTTAAGAGACGCTCCATGCTCGCGGGCTCTGTCGTTAACACGTCGGCACGTTAGACCGATGTAGCAATTCCCGCATGACCGGGAAATGTTATACACCACCCCTGTGGTGCATGAGATATACTGCGTTCTAAGGGCTGTGTCGCAAGGTATTTTCTTTTCTTTTTTAGAGCACAGCTTTTAGGCCCCTGTTTCCGGCTAGAGTGGCGTCGCCATCGGCGCAACTGCGCGTCGGATTATGGGACAATAACGTCACATAGGACGTCACGAGAGGTCACGAGGGAAGAGGAGGAAACTATTCCGATAAATTGAGTGGAAAAATTCTCTGCAAGACTTAGCATGAAAATTGCCCCGCTAAATTTAGAGGAAAAACTTCTCTCCTACGTTTAGTGGAAAGAATTCCCCGCTAGATGTAGCGGAACAATTTCCCCGCCAGATTGGGCGAAACGAATTGCCCGCTAAATGTAGCGGAAAAATCTTCCTGATAAGTTTAGCGGAAAAAATTCCCCGCTGCATTTAGCGGTAAAAATTCCCGCTATATTTAGCGGAAATTGTTAGTCACTAAATTTAGGGGAATGAATTTCTTGCTAGATTTACCGCCAAAATTTTCCCGATATATTTAGCAAAAAAGTGGTCCGCCAAATTTAGCGGAAACATTTTTTCCCTAAATCTAGCGGGAAATTTCCCCGCTAAGTTTATCGAAAAAATTTCCCGCTAAATTTAGCGGAAAATATCTGATAAATTTATCGTTAAAATTTTCCGCTAAATTTAGCGAAAAAACACTGCGCTCGAAAAAAATTCCGCAAATTTAGCGTAAAACTTTTCCCACTGGAAAAATTTACCGATACATTTAGCGAAAAAAAGTGTCGGCTAAATTTAGCGAAAAAGTTATTGGCTAAATTTAGCGGAAAATATTTCCTGATAAATTTATCGGAAAAAATTCTGTGCTGAATTTGGCGGAAACATTTCCCGGCTAAATTTTCCAGCTAGATATAGCGAAAACATTTCCACGCTGAATTTAGGGGGGAATTTTCTGCTAAACTTAGCGGGGATTTTTTCACTGCATTTAGCGAGAAATGTAGTGTAAAATTTTACGCGAAATGAAAGGATAGCAGGAGAGGAGGAGGCGAGGGGAGGATGGGGAAAAGGGGCATACCCTCCCGTCCGTAGCCTCCCCCCTCCTCAAGAGCTGCGCTTTAATTCGGCATTACAGAGACTTGTAAACGTGTTTCATTTTTTTTTTTTTTGTTCTTCTTTTAACTTGTCTGCACATTGAGTAGGCCAAGAAAACCTACTTCATGGTCAGACAAGTTTGCATAGCGAAATCTACGGTTTAATCTGTACGAGCTATCTGTGCTCAATATGTATACTGGATATGTGTTTTCGTTTTGTCAATCAAACATAAAATAAATATTTTAAGAATGGCTCATTTCGAAGGGTGAAATGTACACCTAAATAATATTAATACCATCGTATTACTCCCCTATTTAGGAAATCTATGCTTTGGTCATTCCAGAAAATTGTCGGGATTTTCAGTGACCATGTCCACGGGGTTTATACACGATAAATATTTAAATGTACTTACAAAATATTGATAAAACCCAGCCCTTCCTCCCAATAACATTGACAAGGGAAGGAAGTGTTGGCATAAATGATAGCATCTCCAAGGGTTATTTTAATAGATTTAGAAGTAATTTCCTCTTAAAACGTTAACTTGAATACTTGCCCTTTTCATCTAACTTGCATCATAAATAAAGAGGTATACAGGCGTTTCCAGATGAAGGCCCAGCGTATAAGCTGTTTGCAACCCCCTCCGACTTTCTTTGTATCAATATTTTACACATGTGTATTTTAAAGGAGGGTTGGAGGGGGGTGGCGGAGTCAGGACATCCGGACTCCCCTCAGCATTCCTAAGTGATCACGGTCGATGATGTTTGAACGTGGGTCTGCTAAGAATGGTAAATGTTGTGTTCTTACCACTTCCACAGTTCCGTTTTGCTCTGACACCGACACAGCTGCCATCTTACTTTTATCGTAATAAATATTCTTTACCACCTCCTTTCCATCCACCTGAAAAAAATAAGATACTAGCACTAATATTTTGTAAAATAATCTGTAGGGACCATTTGGGATTTTATTTGAACACGCTAATTTTCAAGCAATTTAGGTGCGTGCGAAATTAGAAACGCGAAAATTTAATTTTTATTAAAAAATATTGTCTTTGTTTTGTAGAATCTTTTCCCTGGAAATTGTGGCTTATTATGCACCAGTTTAGCAAGGATAGAACACGAGTTTTGTCTAATTAGCTTTCCAAGGCTGCTCGAAAGTATTTTTTTTTTACAAAACGTAAAAAAAATCTTAATAATATATATAGATATAGATCAACCGCAATATTTAAATTAAATTTGTTTTTTCAGTAGTTGCTTGTTTGTTCTTTAGTTGCGACAATCAAAAATCGTGAGGAAGTACTTCAAGTGTATGGACTGGCCTTCTTCGCATCTGAACTTCCTCTTTTCTGTTCAGACTCCTCCCAAGCCTCCTTCCTCCTTCCCTCCAAATAAACACACATTTAGCTGTTGCTGCTGGTTTACGCTTTTACAGTAACTCTATAATTGTTTGGTGTTCATTGGTTTGAGTAATTGAAGGCACACATTTTGCGCAGGTAGTGCATAAATTGGCCTCTTTTTATTTTGCCCCATCCAAGAAGGTCGCAAAATAATGCGAGTTATTGCGCCACAGGCAGTGTCAATTCGATATACGTTAAGCTCAAGGGCCTTTGTGTGAGCAACGCTTTGCTGTGAATGCTCGAGGGTTCGTGTTAGTCATACAGGTTCACTAATCCAATTGCAAACTCTGGGCGCCCTGGCGGCTCCCCAGCCCAGTTGCCCGACTACGGCTCACTGGTGGCGGACTTCCCCGCGTGGCGGCGGAGTGAAGCCGGCCTCTTGCACATCGCGCGCGCCGCCTTGATATGGTGGATTAGAGGCTTTGTACAGGCAGTCACTGCCTGGACTCATGCACCACTGGTAATGTTGTAGTGTATTGATCGTCTCGTCCTTGTCTAATTAAATGCAGTTTACTGTTGTTGAAACTGCTGGCTCCGTGTTATGTCCCGGGTTAGGTATGCAGCAAGGCAAACCAACCACAAACATTACTAAATGTATAAAGCCCCGCTACTTTAACGCACCTTCAAATCTTACTGTCTAATAAATTGACGTCTTTGCCTAGAGAAAAACGAGCAGAAAAGCACAGCTTGAGAAACGATAGTTTTGACTGAGATGCCCCAAAAAAAATCAAACGCCTGTGGAGCCTTTTTTCTGTCTTTGATCCACTGAAAATATTTGGTTTAATATATTAGTCATTCTTCGCGGCAGATATTCCCAACCACAATGGTTAATAGAAGTCGATATAATAATATTAATAATAATAGTAATAGCAATAACAACAATAATATAGATATTTATAAAATAATCTTTGTTTGGGGTGCCCAAAAGCACCACATCAGTCTTCCACTTGGTGCGCCAACACAAACAATAAAACCAGCAAAAAAAAATCCTAGACACTCATAAAGTTAAGAGACAAATGTAAGGTTATCCAAACGGCGACAGTACATTGAAACTGAAGCATAGTGAGCGAACATAGTAGCAAAAGAAATATCACGTAAGGCATAAAGGGACATGAAAGTTCACCCTTTGAGGGAGTTACGGAGAATCAAATGTACCATTAGCAACCTTGTGCAGAGAAAGAAAATCTCAAACAGGTCTCCTGGTAGGCAGAAGTAAAAGTGAGAAGATTTCGAGAATGTGTTCATAACTATAATAAAAGCTCCTCTCGAAGTATCTATCATAAACAATTCGAATCACCTTTTTCTGAACATTTTCGATTGTTATAGCCTGTGTCTTAGATATTGAGTTCCATATGACAGAGGCAAGCTCGAGTCGTGACCTTGCTGTAGATATAATTACATAAATCTCAAGATCTATTTACCTAGACAAAGAAAACCATCATGAAGTTGAGACCTCTAGATAAAAAGGCAACTTCTCCGAGATAGCATATCAAGCTAAACATACATGTAATGAATGCAATCTAGAAGATCATCTGCGCTAACCAGAGTAGAGCACTGATCAGGACACACTCGCAAGTGCAGTCTTCGTGATTGGAGGGTTATGACACATTCATTTCGATCAAGCTTGGTCACTCGGCGTAAAAGAAAACAGAGGATTCTTACGCAAAATACCAATCGTCATAATCTGAACCGTGAGATATTGAGAAATAAAATAATGTACACGGCAAGTCAAAGCCTCTTAGATTTTGAACCGTCTTGTATTTTTTTATCCGTGTCTAGAATTTAAATTGTGATATTTCCTAGAAAGCTCGCTTGTATGTTTTGCTTCTTGAAATACAAACCTGAATATTATTTTTGTTAAACGTAAACAACGAAGAAGTAATTCTTTGAGATTACACTTTCTGATAAGCGCTATTTACGCGGAATGACGAAATTTACTGCCAGATTCAGGGTTTGTAGAATTAACCTAAAACTTGGAAGCCACAAGAAAATAAAAACCCGGAAAGACGGATGAAATAAATAATGAAAAAATTTAGTCGAGTTGACTGAAAAATCCTTTATCTTTTTATTTAATTAAAACTCATGTTGTGTGGAATGTAGACTGAATTGTTGCAAAATTGTTAAACAAATATTACTGTCCTAGAGATTTTAGTAGTAAGCTCATTGGGCTGATTCAACACACAAGCATATATATCTAAAACGCTTTTCTTTACATTTGGATGTCCATATATATTTGATCTTATGGGCATTTTGTGTATACGAAAGGGCAGCGTATGGCCAGCAAATTTATGGCCGCAGCAAGGAGCTCAATCTGCGAAATTTTGCAGCATTTTAGTAAGATATATGTTTTTTAAATACGAAAGAAACGGTAAATACAGCCATGCACATCTTGAATGTGAAAGTTTCCTCGGCGGGACTTTAAGGTTATTATAAAATATCAAAGGCGAACGTTAAACATCAAATCATATTACAAGCTGGAAAAATGTTACTCATGAAAAACGCATATATCTTAATGCGCAAGTAAAATTAAGGCAAAATATCACTATACACAAAATATTTGAAAAGTCGCCTTATTTTATCAGTTATACTATTTCAAATGTGTGATTGGAAGAAGATTTGTCTATGCAGTCATTTTGTGTTAATATATCTGCAAGCATAGCAGCAGTATACTTTTTTTGTTGTTTTACATTATAAAAGCATAAAGCTCCCTTGCATTAGAATATTAAATATTCAAACACTGCATTATATACATATGCTGATTTCACAAGGGAAAACACATTTTCACGACGCGAAAATATGATAGAATTTTTTTGCAAATAATGAAAAATACTTACAATGGTATCTACTTGCTCAGCGCCATTAGTACTCGAGACAACTAACTTGTCGGCGATAGCAGAGCTTTTTTCTAAACTCAGAGAAAGTTGTTCAGTGATTTGAAGAATTTTTTCTCCGTTGATCCCTCTTGCTTCCAGGAGTCTTGGATAAACAACATACTCTGCGGATGAACCTGCGTCAGAGGTGATAATGATAAAGTTTCTTTGCAGAAGTACATGTGCACAATTGCAAAATTTCGCTGTATTTTTTTTTAGCTGCGTTATTATAAAACAAATTTGAGTTTTTCAAAACGAACGGGTAATTCTGGTTTCAGCTTACAAACGTTATACCAGAGAAAATTTGCTACGCACTACTGAATCGTATTCCATGAGTTTATTTAGCGAATACTAAACTTTTGTTTTTGATGCATGGCCGACTCGTCACAGTAAATACAAATAAAAAGCTTTGAAAAAGCGCTTGGAAATAAATTAAACTCCGAGTATGTTATTGAACCACTGACTTCCCCGCCATCGAGGAAACAGTATTCGTTGTAAATATTTGTAACGAACAACAGATATTCGAAACAGTGTTGTTTGAAATTAGCAATGAAAACAGCTTTGGTGAATCTACTACTCAAAGGATGCGCGCAAAATAACGTAGAACATTATCGACCTATTTCCATTCTGTCTTGCTTTGCTAAAATACTGGAAAAACATTTGTGGATAACTATGAAGAGCTTTTTAAATAAACACTGTATACTATCTCCTTATCAGTGCTGGTTCACACGGGGCCGGGGTACTCAAATTCTCCTTGAGGACTTTTCTGACATACTCAATTTATCTTTTGAACGGAATCAAGTCGCCTGCGTACTCTTCTTTGATGTCCGCAAGACATTTGATAGTGTTAGCCATCGCATTTTGTTAAAGCTTTCAAACTTAAGCTTTTGAGGCTCTTTTCTAGATTTACTGAAAAACTGTCTACAGGTTAGGCATTAATGTGTTTCATTTTGAGCGTATCATAGCGGATTTATTTCAATCAAAGCTGGTATCCCCCAGGGCTCGGTCTTAAATACACTGCTATTTAATCTTTATGTTAATGACCTCTCCATGGCGATACCAATTTCACTATTTCAATATGCTGACGAATCCGTTATTATACCTAGAGCGTCTAATTTACCAGATGCATTTTCGTCTTAACAACTGCGGCAGTTAGAACTATAGAGTGGTTTGAAGCTAATTTAATTAAAGTTAATGCATCGAAATCGCAGTTAATGTTTTCACAACCGGCGTAAAAAAAGTTAATATAACCTCCTCTTTACGGTTACATACGTCTGGATGTGTATTATGTGCATGTGAGCCTATACAGCATACGTCTTCTATAAAATATCTTGGCCTATTCTTTGACATTGACCGAACCTGGAACACTCATCTTGCTCATGTGTGTAAGAAAATTCGTGTAGTGTCTTGTTTGTTATACAACTCGAGATATTTTATGCCACTATGAGTTCGAAAAATTGTTGTAGATGCTCTAGTCTACAGTGTGCTCCTTCACGATATTACCATGTGTGGTCATTCTGCACTCCGTTGGCTTAATTAAAATTAATTCGATTGTGCGTTCTTTGTTAAAAACATTTCATATGATTTACGCCTTGGTATGGATATTGACATGTTTAAAGCACTGCAATTTCCTGACTTTAACTCGCTATTGATGGAAACTGTTGTTCATAGGCATTTTTGGGATAGTCAATTTAAAGCTCTATATGTAGCTTCTCATATTCTTAGACCCAAAGAGCGTTACCAGATACCTCGACGTTCGAGAACATTTGGAAACAGAGCTCGTAGCTACTATATACCAGCATTTCTGAACAAACTACCTTCAAGTATTCTAAATTTCAGAACAAAATACAGCTCAAAAAAGCCTCGAGAAATTTTAGTTCGTAAAGTGCTACTAGTTTGCTTTTGTTATTCTGATTTCTTTGTGTGGATTTTATTTTACATGTCTTCTTGCATACGGCTGGTTTCATTGATTGTAAGACGCTGCCAGTCGAGCCCAATGTGACTTAGGCAGGTCTGCCTTAACAGACGTTTTGTTCATTTTCAGTAAAATATTAATATTGTTATGAAAAAAAAAAAGAGTTCTGGGTACGTCTTAAGTGTTTATTATTTCGGATGTATATGAATCTTTTCCGGTTCCCTCCGAGCCATCTATTTTTGTTTTGTTTTTTATGGTATACAGGAGTCACTGATCACAGAGAAAATGACACTCCGCATTTTAATATTATTGTGCTACTTTCAAAAATTATTATGAGCATTTTTTTAGTTGCCGCAGGAGCTTACAAATATCGTGATGAACTGGTTTCATTAAAATGGATTGTTTGCAAGTCCTTTTTTTTGCTGGACGTAATATGAGAAACCTTTTGAATGGTTCCTTAGCGTCTCATCCTTTTTTGTGTGTTATTTTTATTCTTCCTGAGTAAAGTTGAGCATCGAAAACTGCTGTATACTAAGGGACATCGCAATATACGTTTTCTCTTTCGCATTTCTCAGCTGATCTGTCCACGCTGTCAAAGTAAACTGTCTTAAAATGATAGTGACTTCTCTTAAATGCACCATCTTTTCGTAGTTCCAATGCGGATGAAAGTAGAAACACGCTGATCTGCGACCTGGGTCTGATATCGCCAACACAGAACACATAAGACTTCGAGTGGTATGTTAAGGTAAACTGCGTAGTTTCATCTCTAGTAAAGGTGACGCTACTCAGCCTGAAACCCGTAAAGGAAAGAAACAAAGAGCATTGGCTTTTTGTTTCTTTAGATTAACGCTACTTGGCCGGCGAAACAAAAACCAGAGGAAAGGGGAACCTCAAAAAGTATAAAAGCGCCCTAAAAAACAAAAAAAACAAAGACAAAGTAATACAACCACAAGGCGGAGCTAGTTGCAGACCGAAATAACCATCTTGCGAAAGAGAGTTTTTGCAGAAGGTTAAATTTGTGAACAGAAGAAAAGTTCAAGTGAATTATGGTTTTAAGCTTTCACCCTTTTTTACTCCAGGTGTCCTGGAAAAACGGATTAAAGGACAACTCCGCTTCATTTTTGGTTAAAAAAACAAAAACAAAGAACAATGCAGTCTTTTTCAGTATCGCCTAGGAAGACCAAACGTCAAATACTACGACGCAGTTTTGTCTAAATGTTTTTTAAACGGTCCCGCAAACTTTGCAACTCGCTAAGTTGCTGAAATCGGCTGACTCGAGCGGGCGAATTCAGGCGCAACCAACAGCGCAGTCAGGGCTACGGCATGGACGGAGCCCACATTAAGCCAAACGTCATCATCATGGTCCCCTTTCGCTTGTTTTTACTTCTCGGGGAGAGCGTAGCGCATCACGTCAGCAACGTTGCCTCTCGGCGCTCAACGATGTGCACGTGATTGGCGTAACGCGCCTGCGCAGCGTGCTTCTTCGGAGCCGCTCGGCCGCCCGCCATTGTCCCGCCGTTACTGCCGTCTTCCGCGTCACAACCACCGTCGTCGTCTCACCGTTTGTGATTAATAGGGAGTTGCAGTAGATCGTTTTTCTCCTCCGCTACGGTATCCGTGAAGAAAACGCCGCAGCTGCGCATGCGCGCCGCCAGCCTTCTCTGCATAGTTCAAGGTCTTGTGGCGGATTACGGAGCGCTATCCGGGTGCTTAGCGGGCTGCTGGAACGGTCTACTACAATTTCCGATTGTATCTCGGAGTTTTGTCCACACTACGGACACCACGTGCGCAGACTTATGCCGCAGTTGTGCAGACGTCGTCGAATGCCGTAGACATCAAAACGTGGCAAAGAGTGCGGTGCAGATGACACTCGCGCCTGCCACACGCCCGCCCCAATCGCGCCCGTCGTTGGGCCCAGGATCATGTGAAATCTCGTACCACGTGAGGGCCATGTACTTGGCGGCCAGAGGCCAATGTTGCCGGATCGAGCCGAAGTTTAGGTTTCAATTTCCGCTCGTGTTTAAAATGAGATTAAAAATAAATATCCGATTTTATTGCGAAACAAAGAACGTAGTGTCTTTTACTAGGGCTTTTTAATTCGAAATCACTAATTATCCATAAATCTTCGGAATTAAGCGGAGTTGCCCTTTAAGACCTACATTTTCTGCCCAGACTACGTGAAAACTATACATATTGGTTTAAGCAGTAATGCACTCTACGTATTGTTTAAGTTTATATTTAGAAATCTGAAATTAGCTTTATACTTTCATGTGGATGCCAAGTAAATTACAGCCAAAGGAATCAATTTTCTTCTTGTAAAAGTTTGGATGCCCATGTTTCATCAACTAAGAGCATAGCCTAAGAAAAAAAATAAAACATGCCTTTTAATGGGCGCGATGCATATTTTGCCGGGCGATATTAGGTGGAAGGTGAAGTGACTTAGGCAGAGTAATGAAGGGACGCAGTGCCAGTACGCAAGGAGTGAGTCCTAGATTCTTTCAAGGTCACGTGGAAGGGCGTCGATTGAATCCAGATGCGCTGGCTAGACGGTTTCCTGGTGCTTTGCTATATTGTAGTCCCAACTAAAGTGCCGGAGATTCGCAGTTTGAGATTGAAGCCTCTCAGAATATCTTTCCGAAGTTTCTTGCTTTCTCTGGGGTGATTCCTGTGCCGGCTTTCCAATCTTTATATTTCAATCTCCACCATTTTATCAAATATTTTGGTGCCTTCTGTCGCAGATTTGGCTCGAGGATTACTCTTTAGAATACCAGGATAAACAAAGGGTGCTATTAGGAAGGGGAGAGAAGAAGCTTCTATGAGTGAATTCGGCGGTAAAGTATGGGTTGCAAGAGAAGAAAACCCATTCATTTTATGCCTTGTATAGTTTCTCTTGGCTCAATCAAGCCAGATTCATCTAGCTCTTTTTTTTTCTCGAAGAAATGCACGCGAGTTCATACAGCAAAACGTTCAGTCTCGAAATAAAAAAAGCGGGTAATAAATGTCTAATAATAACTGTCTTTCAGAAAAAAAATGGAACGGCCAATGTTTATTCTTTTGCTTCGAGCTTTTATTTTATTTTGCAAATTGCCCAATTATTTATTTATTTACGCACTATCACTCTTTGTTTATCGGTATGTAAGTATACTTTTCGCAGAAATGATATAACTGAGAGTGGGCGTGACACAGACGTGCGCACTTTTCCTAAATTACGTTTCCTGTGGG